GAATGTATCCATTCAGGAAATGACCAAGCACTTGGACTTCTTTACATGGGCTTTGGAGAGTGGAGATTCCAGTGAGTCTTTTCGATGCGTGGCATATCTGCAGGGCCGGGCCACACACATAGTGCAGGTAATGAGCAGGTATGTGGGCCAAGAACGAGATCCCATTTTCCGGAATGGCCTGAGAGTCTTGATCCAGCAACTAGAGCAATCTTCATTGGTCTTGGGTGTAGCTGCTGAGCGCTGTTCACGTGAATATGGATCTCTGGACACTGATGCATTTTTAACCATGGCAAAACATCTGATCTATTCGGCGCAGAGCCTCAAAGAGGGGCTGGATGGGACTAACCATCCAGATATCCTCAGCCCCCTTCGGAACCAAGTCCACAGGTTTGATGTTGCTAAGAGACAACCTTATTTCATTCTCCCCAGCTTCCAGAGCTCTGCAGTGCCTGAACTGAAATATCAGAGAGTGCCTGGGTTAGAGAAAAATGATCCAGGCACCTCCTATTCACCAATGGACCATTCTCCTCACCCTTTGATTCCTGATACCTGTACAAAGAGGAGGGGCTCTCCACCCTCTGCCATCAGGAAACTCATCCTTGCTGTAGAGAGCCGTGACCACCAGGCAGCGGCCTCAGCTTGCACCGACCTGCTAGAGCATGATGCTGCTGTCAGTGCAGCCCAAGAGGCCCTGGCTGGAGAGGGGTCACTGGGGCCAGAGAGGATGTTAGGACTTCAAGGTATTTCAACACTGGCACCTCCTATTATTGGCCTAGCAAAAGAGATAGCACATTGCACAACTGCTAGAACTGATAGGCTCCTGGAAGTGGCTCTCCAGCTGTCTGACAAGACGACGGAAACCAGGCAGGGTTTGGTAGCCATGGCTAGTGACTGGTACTGTCTGTGTCAACAACTGTTTTGCCACAACCCAGCAGCTGATCTGTCACAGAGTACAGCAGTGTTCCTGGAGCTTCAGCAGAATTTAGCCTCAGTGGTTCAACTAGCAGCTAAAAGTGGGCCCGTGGATTTGGATAAAAATGACCTTGATTCAACTCAGCATCCGGAAGTGCTCTTACAAATGCAAGCTAGATTGGAGGAGGCAGAGACCTATGCTAAACAGTTGTTGGACAAGGTTTTGGCCTTTGATGGTCTCCAAGCCCCCAAGTCATGGGAAGAGAGCATTGAGGATGGGTGCCTTCTATGGTCAGTGGCTGTCCAAGACCTGCTCCAGTACATGGAGCAGCTCAGTGGGAAAAAAGGCGTGTTCCTACTGCCCCTGCGGCTGGCAATGAAAAACCAGCAGGGACTGCAGGAAGGGTTGGATCAGGCAGCAGATGTTTCTCAGAGGCTACAAGAGGCTGCCAGGTTGTCCAGCCTACTGTGTGGGGATGAGCAGGAAAAGGGTGAGGTGTCCTTTCTGCGCAGGGAAGTTCATGTACTCACAGATGCTCTGCTGGATGTGGCACAGATCCTGGCCTCCTCCCCTAAACCATCTCCCAGCCTGTCCACACGCTTTGAACTTCTCTGTCTGGAGCTCAGCCTTCAAGCCAAGGCCTTGACTAGCCACCTCAGCACCATTAATGCAGACTATGAATGTGCCTTCCAAGATGTTGTCTGCCCAAGGCTCTCTGTCTGCAAGGACCCCCAGACCAGACCAGAAAGCTCCCTGGAAAGAATGGTGTCTGGTATCCAAGCTGTACAGGGAATTGTGGTAGAAGGTCAGGAGTATGGGCCCTGCCAGGAAGACCTCATTGTGGCTCTGGAGAGCATTCTCACCCTCACCAAGGAGGTGGCCCAGAGGATCCCTGTGCTCCAAGAACACCCGGAGGAGTGGGGAATGCATATCCTAGACTGGCTTCAATGGGAGTGGGCAGCCAAGGCTCACCATGCCGTGGCCCAGCTGCAGGCCTGGAAAGGTGGTCAGACCAACGCCTGGAGACATCTGTCCCAGTGCTTGAAACCTGGGGAGGAGCCAAGAAGGGCCCCAGAACAGGATCCCATCCAACCCCTGTTCCTCTGCAAAGAGGATGTGGCAGGAGCCGCTGCAGTGGGCAGTGTGGATTCTCAGAGTGCTGCCCCCAGGACTCCTCCAGGGAGCTCAATGAGAGCCTGTATTGCTGGAACAACCACAGTGGACCTGGACATGGTAGGATACTCAGCATCTTTCCTTCACCCCCACCTCAGTTCTCTTTCTAGTAACCAAGGACCCTACCAAGTTCCAGAAAAAGCGATCTTGGTGTCCATGTGTGTAATTCACACCAGGCAGGCAGCACATGCAGACTTTAGGAGCCCAGATTTGGGAAGGAGACTGCCTGGGCTGCACCTGCCTCTATCATTTCCTTGTTGTGAGATATCAGAGAAGCTTTGTAGCCATTTGGGACTTCAATATTTTTTCTAGAAAATGGGAACTTTGATAAGTTCCTGATGAAGAATTAATGAAAGCATGCAAAATGTTTGCACTTGCCTAGCATATAGTAAGTATAGATGGTGGCTATAATTATTACTGTCTTCCATGAAGTTTTCCTGATGACTCTAACTGGAAGTGATTCCCTTGCTGTGACAGACACAGACGTCCTCAGGATCGAGCTGCTGTGTGCCACCTTGACCTCTGCAGATGCTACCTCCCTCCTCAGTCAGAGTTCTGTTGTTTGAATCCAACTTGAATCAGCACAGGCAAAAAGAAGGATTTATTGGAAGGATGTTGGGTCTACTGAATGCCATTCACACACATTCATTTCTTTCCAGGGCAACAGAAAGGATACTCAGGCACTGTGGGTCCCACACATTTGATTTACTTATTTTTGCCCATGACAAAAGTCAGTGGGAGTTACCATAGGTTGGCAGTGGCTGAGAAGTTCCCAAGCAGACATGCTTAGCCCAGCGATTGATGCACAACCTGAGCTATCCCTGTTATGGCCTTATGCTTGGCTACATAAATCCCCTCAAACTGTTCCCTGGGCCTTCTCCTGACATGAAACCGACCAGAACATGTGTTTCCCCACCCTGTTGCACTTCACTTCACTTGCCTCAATACGATGTCATTACTATATGAAGGGACCTTATTCCCAAAGGGGCAGGGAGGAGAGCAGGCACAGTTCCCTTTGCCCTGCAGCCTGACTCTTCTGTGCTCACACCCTAACCATCTTCTAGGCTTGCCTCACTCCATATCTCCTGGTCTCATGAATTCAGGTGCCATGCAGGCTCCTCCTTTTCTTATCTGTTTCTCCATAGGGTCTTCCTGGCACATACTTCAAGCCACTGGATTCACTGACTTAACATATTCTGTTTCTGTCAGTTCACCTGATACATTCCCCTTCTAATCAAAATTTGCTGAGGGAACATCTCTCATAGGTACAGGGCAGGGTGACGCTGGCCATCCAGCTTCGCGAGAGAACAGCAAGCTCAGCCCCCATTACCACTCCTGTCCATGAATGGACATTTTCTCTCCCGTTGGAGGTTTCTTCTCAATGAAGAGCAAAGCCTCACAATTCCACAGTTTCCACCCCAGAGAAGCGCTGTCTTTGTACACACACAGTTCCAGTATTAAAACCACAGGAAAAAGGACTCTGCCTCGAGGGCTTACCCTCAGGTGTGTGGAAGAATCGCCATCCATAAGGTGTGTCTGGCCCACTCTCTCATTCTCTGGGCTTCTGTAGTGCAGAGACACAGCCTCCATTCCACCCAGAACAGCACCTCACACAGCCATCAGAACCTGCTGAGGGAGGCTATGGGTTTGGGAAGGGGGATTGTGTATCTCCTGGGCACTTGTAAGTCACCATCTGGAAATCCTTTATTCCAGTTATGAGGGTCTCCCATACCCAGGCCTTGGTCTCTTTCATTATTCAAGAGCCTGGGGACATTTCTAGATTTGGACCTTAAAAGGTTGCTGATAGTTAAATAGGAGACATGAGTTGAAAATAGTACTTTCTAGTTTCCTAACCGTTGGCTCAAGGACCTCCAAATCACATTTGCCGTTTTCTCCCTTCCTGGTCTTTGGTCACTGCCCTTGAGTCTTAGTGTCAGATTTCTCTCCCATTCTCTTCTCTTCACCTATGCCTGGGCCCCGTCTTGGTGGCTTGCTGGGCCCGGGTGTAATTGGCCCCACCTCAGAAGAGGGATCAGCTCAGCCCTTTGAGCATTCAGGGGACATCCCATTCTATCTAGAACAAGGCCAACAAAGCAGCAGAACACATTGCAAAGTGTCAGATGGTAGGGACGATTAACTGAAGAAGCCAACACAAAAACAATAGCAAATCCAGGTGACTTCTCAGTATGTGCTAGCTCAGACAGCCTAAACTATCAGCGACTGAGCCTTATGGATTCCTTCGTACTCCTTTAGATCCTTCCTGCCAAGCACAGTATCTGACATATTGCTGGTGCAGATTTTCTAAATGTCTCCTAAAAGGAGGGCAGTGTTAAGTTGAGCTTCAAAGGAAGTATGTGACTGCAATTGCGAATGAGGGTGGGAAGAACTTCCCAGGCAATAACAGCTCTGAGATGAACTTGGACCCACAGGTTCTCCCAGTGCTTCTGAGATTTAGATTTGCTCCTGATGTGGAAGTGGATACTGTGTGCTTGGAGAGGGCGGCGGCCTGCAGTTAGGCCTTCTCTGTGGATGCTCTTCACCCAGTTCCAGTTAGGCACCTGGCTGGTTGCTGTTCTCAGCATCTAGACAACTTCTGAGTCAAGGGTGAGAAATCAGGACGCTTGGCAGCCCTGCCTCTTCTTGCCCCTGGGCCACACTTGGTGCGCATCTGTAATCCCAGCCACTAAGGAGGCTGAGACAGGAGAATCAATTGAATCCAAGAGGCGGAGGTTGCAGTGAGCTGAGATCATGCCACTGCACTCCAGCCTGGGCAAGAGAGCGAAGAGAGTGAGACTTTGTCTCAAAAAAAAAAAAAAAAAAAGATAAAAAGGCAATTGATTTCCACATTGTATTTTAAAGGCCTGAGTGTCAGAAATTTATGAGTTCTAGCCCGTTGTTTTCTTTCAGCAGCAAAACAGCCCCCAATCCCCGTCCCCCGGCTCCTCAGCCACAGCAGCACTTCCCACTGAGCTGAACCAGCCCCTCCCAGAGGACAGCAGCACAGACGGGGAGAGCAGAATCACCCGGATCACTCGAGCAATGGCCATGGAGGTGTTCCTGATGGCTCAGAGTCTGAGGAGGAGAGGATGCGTCCTGGTACCTGGGCTTCAGCCAGCCGTGGAGGACTGGGCGTGGCATGGGGATGTCGGGGCTCCCAACTGCTGCTCTTCAGGAGCTGGGGCAGCCCTAGGCAGCTCCCAGGATGGAAGGGCCACACTGTGGGGCCATTCAGCACTCAGCATTTTATGTACTGTCTTCATTCTGGGCATATCGTAACGTCCACCTCACATCTCTTTCCCACCCTTCTTTTGGGCTCAGTTACTGAGGCTTTGTTTTATTCCACCAGCAAGGATAATTTCCCAAAAGCTATAACTTAGTAAAATCAAGATCTCTTTCATATCCCAGAAGGATTAACTGAAGGGAGCCACTGAGATCTTTTTAAATTCCCCGAAATAGAGGAAATAAGGACTGCAACCACCTCAAGGATAGCTGTTTAGGGCCAGCACAGCCTGGCGGGGAGAGGGCTGCTTCCCACTGGCTTCTGGGGGCCACCTGCAATCATGTGTGGCCTGTTCTATCTCTCTTTATCCCTTTGCTTGATTAAATTTACTTAAACATTGTTTAATATCAATGCATCAACACGGAAAAAATAAAAGTCCATCTTCTGAGTGTGTGGACCAAAAGGAAGCAATCGAATGTCACCAAGAGCCACTCAGGAAACCCCTTCCGGTGTGGGTCTGCTGGGTACTATTGGCTCCAAAACTCATGGCTGGGCCACATGGGGCCCCACTTTCTCAACCTGGCAGAGAGGAGGGTCCAGGAGAGAAGGGTGAGTGTCAAGGCATCCCCTGACTAGGTGACTACAAAGCCAAACCCAGCAGCCCCACCATGCCCAAGACATAGACCTTTTCTTGTCCCGTCCTCCTCCCAATCCCTGCCCACCACAGCCAATCAGCCTGTTGAACACCTGTGTGCCAGCAGCGAGCAAGAGCCACTGCTGCAGTCATTATCCAGGTTAGGGGACTGTAGCGGTTATGTGTACAAAATAAAACACCCACAGGAAGATGGCGTGGAGGGGTGTCTCACTCATCCTTCCTTCTCCTGTTCTTTTAGTATTCCTTTTCATTCTTACCCTAAAGACCGATGCTTCTGAAATTAGGCAGCCAAACCCCATTTAGCACAGGAAGAAAGCTGGTAGATGCCGCGAGCTCGCCCAGACCCAAGACTTATCCAAAGAGAAGCCAAAGATATATTTTAGGACTCACTTGCTAATTCAAAACAGATTCTCAAGGGTATGAGGACCCACACATTCTCCTAGGAGGTCGTAAACAAGTGGTGCTGCCTTGGATATCCTGGGTGGGTCTTGGTTTGGGATTGCCACGAGTCTTTAAAAAGGAAGGAGCAGCACAGTGCCAAGTGACCTGGCACAGGTCTGGCTAATTTGGGAACAGATGCTGCATTTCAAGAAGGTTTCCCTGTTTCCAGAGGTTTTCCTACTGGCCTGCCATGGGTTTGGAGTTGCTGAGGATTAGGTACCGGACATGGCTGTACCCACTGCCTTCTGGCTGGAATTGCAAATTCTTTGAATGCTGAGTTTATTAGGAGTGATTTCTTGTTGACTGGACAAGCTGGGGTCGCATGCCGCACAAAGAAGAGGGAGCCCAGAAGTGGTTCCCTACCAGGGCCAGCCACTGAAAAGCACGGGGCAGGCAAAGTTCAGTTCTGCCCTCTAAGTTGGTGTCCATTCCTCATGGCATTTAGGAGGCCCCTCAGGAGGGCAGATGCCACTTTTCATGCTTGCTGACAGCTTGAAAGCCCCACTCCTTCCTGTCCCCTTCCTGCCCCCCATCTGGGCAAGCCAATAAGAAAGCCCAGACACCACCTTCTTTGACACCAGTGGGAAGCTTAAACCACATAACCCTGGCCCGTGTGTGGAAGCCCTCTTCCCAGCCAATCAGCGTAAAAGCCAAGCCAGTCTCCTTTCCTTGCTCTCTCAAGCCATTTTACCTGGTTGGGAGCCTGCCCTGCTCTTCTGGAAAGCCTCCTTCTGTGAGTCACAACCCTTTTCATACCTTCTGGGTTCACAAATGGCATCATCAGTCCTGAGATCTGAACCAGATTTTGGGAGGGGAAGTCCATCCTCTCTGCAGGGTGCCAGTACTTTCACCAGCAAGACTTGTGTTGTTTCCCGGGGTTTCCTCTTCTGACTATGTCTACTTCCTATGGCCTGTTGAAGGGCCACCTTCCCACTCATCCCAGACAAGGCAGTGAGGTTTTGGCATGGCTCTATATTTGCTGGAGCAGCCTATCTTTTATTTGCATTAGTTGCCTCAACATTCACCATTATGTTGAAGATTTTTTTTTAGAGACAAGGTCTTGCTCCATTGCCCAGGCTGGAGTGCAGTGACACAATCATAGCTCACTGCAGCCTCAGCCTCCTGGGCTCAAGCAGTCCTCCCAACACAGCCTCCCGAGTAGCTGGCACTACTAGCACACCACTGTACCCAGCTAATTCTTTTTTTGTAAAGATGAGGTCTTACTATGTTGCCCAGGCTAGTCTCAAACTCCTGAGCTCAAGCCATCCTCCCACCTTGGCCTCCCAAAGTGCTGGGATTACAGGCATAAGCCACTGCACCCGGCTATGTTTAAGATTTTATTTGTTTTTTGTTTGTTTTCGAGATGGAGTGTTGCTCTGTTGCCCAGGCTGGAGTATGGTGGCTCACTGCAACCTCTGTCTTCCAGGTTCAAGCGATTCTCCTGCCTCAGCCTCCCAAGTAGCTGGGACTGCAGGAGTGTGCCGTCACACTTGGCTAATTTTTGTATTCTTAGTAGAGTCGGGGTTTTACCATGTTGGCCAGGCTTGTCTCGAACTCCCCTGATCTGCCCACCTTGGCTTCTCAAAGTGCTGGGATTACAGGCATGAGCCACTATACCCTGCCAAGATTTTATTTGAATAGAGTGTTCTGTTGCTTAAGAAAAAATAGAAAAGGAATGGAAAACTGTTGATTTAGTCCAAATCTCTATCTCTTTTTATTTATTTATTTATTTATTCATTCATTCATTTATTTATTTTCCAAATCTCTCTTTTTAAAGTAAAGAAAAGTGAGGCCCAGAAAGGTCAAAATTTTAAATCAGCTAACGAATAGGTGGCTTATCTCACCAGTCTCTGAATCATCCGTTCCCAGCTGTTAAGCTCTACATGTGACTGTAGTCCTCTGTCCCTTGGTTCCCGCCACCACCCCCTTCAACCTGGATGTTTCCTACACCTGGCCCTCCCTGGCACCCTCATACCTGCCCTGGGCCTGCTGAAAACTAACTCTGAGCCTAGTGGAAGCCACAGCCTCTGTGGGGACAGGCTAGACCATGACCAGGAGGCTGGGCCGCCTTCTCTTCAGCAGCCCCACACAGATGGATGAGCCCCTGCCATGTCATTCTGCTGCCTTTCAGGAGGCTAAACTTCTTACTAACCCAGGAAGACTTGAGGCCTTTGGAGGAGGTTCAGGAGATCACGGTTTAAGCTAAAATATATTCATTTTGTGGGCTGAAGTAAGTTGTGCCGAGCAAGTTTTAGACACTTTTACCACCAATTTCTTGATATTCTAACTCTCATTTCTTTGATATAGACCAAAGATCAGCTCATTGCCTCTGCCAGGAAAATTGCAGCTTCTGGACAAAACTTCGCCAGACTCATCTGCATCATTGCTAAGAACTGCATAGATCAAAGATGTTCCCAGGAGCTTTTGTGTGTGGTGGAGCAGATTCAAACAATGAGCAACCAGCTTCGCATCATCTCCAGGTAGGAAGTAGCTCTGCTTTCTCAAGACCTGGGGGTAGGGGTAGAGGTAGGGGTGAGGTAATTCCTTTAAAATATATACTTCTTTTTATTTTTTTTTTTTTTGGAGATGGGGTCTCTGTCACCCAGGCTGGAGTGCAGGTGCACTACCATGGCTTGCTGCAGCCTCAACCTCTTGGGCTCAACTGATCCTCCCATCTCAGCCTCCCACATAGCTGTGACCACAGGTGCATGCCACCACACCCAGCTGATTTTTTGATTTTTTGTAGAGACGAGGTCTCTTTATGTTGCCCATGTTGATCTTCAATTCCTGGACTCAAGTGATTGTCCCTCCTCAGCCTCCCAAAGGCTAGGCATGAGGCATCACAACTGACCTTCTTTTAATTTTTTATCCTCCAAGAATTTACGTTTATTTGTTAGATATCAAACAAATATTGACAATATTTTAAAACATTTCAGAGGGCAAAAAACACACTTACGCTAGAGCCATTTCTCATTTTATCACAACTACAGTATATCTGATATTATACACAAGAAAGAAAAGAAGATTTAACTTAGAAAACTAGTTTCTGAACAAGTGTGAACATAAAGTAACCATAAGAAATTTTTTAAAGTGAAATATGTTAGAACTTACTCTGTCCTTTAACACTGGTTTCTTCTCCCTTCAAAATGCCAGGCACTGACTCCAGTGATACTGCTGGTTTACAACACTGCAGCGTTAATCTACAAGCACAAAAGACTGAGCTTACTTTAAAACTAAAACAATGCCCGAGTTGGGCGCAGTGGCTCACGCTTGTAATCCCAGCACTTTGGGAAGCTGAGATGGTTGGATCACTTGAGGTCAGGAGTTCCAGACCAGCCTGGCCAACATGGTGAAACCCCGTCTCTACTAAAAATACAAAAATAAGCTGGGCCTGGTGGCGGGTACCTGTAATCCCAGCTACTTGGGAGGCTGAGGCAGAAGAATAGCTGGAACCTGGGAGGCGGAGTTTGCAGTGACCAAGATCGCGCCAGTGCACTCCAGTCCAGAGTGAGACTCCATCTCAAACAAACAGTGTCTGAATTTTGCCCATTACCTCTCATTTGTGTTTTTACTAATCATATCTAACAAAAAATACATTAAATGCAAAGTAAATGTACTGCAATTGTCATCTGCCTAAGAAAAACAATGCCAGCACAGTGCTTATGTGAAGGTTAATCTATTTGATATGCTGAAACTCTGGAATTGAGCAATTTTCATTAATTGTTTCTTTATAACAACTTCCCTATTGGTAATATAGAACATCATAATATAATTATGGAATCAGGTTTCATTTCAACCTGAGTCCCTTCATTTATACAACGGCACATTTACCAAAAACAAACTTCATTTAGTAGTATTCTTATGTTATGGAAGAGCTTAATAGTTAAAACTATTAGCAATTGCTGTAAGGCATTAAAATTGTATTGTTAAAAAAACCAAGACATATAAATTGTTTTAAAATTAAAAACCAAGACATATAAATTGTTTTAAAATTAAAAGTAAAACCTGGTTTTTGTTCTCCAAGAAATAATATTTTAGGCACATCATTGTCTTAAAATTAGGCTACCGGGCTGGGTGCAGTGGCTCAAGCCTGTAATCCCAGCACTTTGAGAGGCTGAGGTGGACAGATCACTCAAGGTCAGGAGTTCGAGACCAGCCTGGCCAACATGATGAAACCTATCTCTACTAAAAATACAAAAATTAGCTGGGCATGGTGGTGCATGCCTGTAATCCCAGCTACTCAAGAGGCTGAGGCTGGAGAATCATTTGAATCTGGGAGGCGGAGGTTGCAGTGAGCTGAGATCTTGCCACTGCACTCCAGCCTGGGCGACAGAGTGAGACTCTGTCTCAAAAGCAAAACAAAACAAAACAAAAAGAATTAGCTACCAAAAGTTTTCAACTGAAGATACAGCAACTACAATTAATTTTAGCATTGCAAATAAGAGTATTGTTGTAAGAGTACCCAAGACTTGCTTTAATCAGGTAGACATGGATATGAAATACTCAGACATAGAAAAGACCATCATGAAGGAGGAAGTTATACTCACTAGACATAGAAGGCACAGATGCCATGCAGGGCCACCAGGGAAGCACCAGGGTTAGTCAAAAGGCAGAAGTCAGGAGGAACCATGGACCAGGGCATTTACTGTGGTTTTCACAGGAAGGAATGGGTGAGACAAGGAAAGTGGTTTAGCTATTTATTTAGGACTGGTTAGTTTGAATCATTTCAGTGGGCTCTGGGGTACTGGGGTTGTCTCTAGCTGTCTGGAACCTGGCCTTGGGATGATTAGGGCAGGTGACTAGCAGCCTGGAATGTCAGAGCTGGATGACGGAGGTGGTTGGCGGGTGTGGGCTCTGGACTGGTTGGTTTGCCTACACTGGAAGGTGTGCTTACAAGTGAGTCATTTATCCCTAGGAGTTGACTAGCCCTAGGAACGGGCAGTCTCCAAAATACAGACAATAAAAAGGCATGATTTTTTAAAAACACAGGTGTATTTATCAAGCTGTCAATCTTCTAAAGGACCTAGAAGTCCTGAAATTTTGCACTTAAGTTTCATAGCATTTTAATTCTCAATGGTAGGGAACAACTTGTTTAACTAACTTTAGTTACATTTAGTTTCAGACAAATACCATTGAGATGTGCAATTCAATTAGGAAGTACAGGCCTGATTTTTGATGAGAACTTTTAATCTTAGCCCCCAAAACAATTCTATACAAAGTTTCTCATTCCTTTTCATTAGATATGGTAGTTAGCATTTGTTCTAATTCTGCTGTTTTCATTGAAAACATACTTCCTGTTAATTTATAGACACTGTCATATTTTCTTAAATAAAAATGGTATTTTAAAAAGTTAATTTAGACCTTTAGAACATTGTTTTTCTGTGCTGGGCATGGTGGCTTGCGCCTGTAACCCCAGCACTTTGGGAGGCTAAAGCAGGAGGATTGCTTGAGGCCATGAGTTCACGACCAGCTTGGCCAACATGGCAGAACCCCATCTCTACTAAATATACAAAGATTAGCCAGATGTGGTGGTGCATGTCTGTGGTCCCAGCTACTCGTGAGGCTGAGGTGGGAGAATTGCTTGAACCTGGGAGGCAGAGGTTGCAGTGAGCTGAGATTGTGCCACTGCACTCCAGCCTGGGTGACAGAGTGAGACTCTGTCTCAAGAAAAAAAGAAAAGAAAAGAAAAAGAATATTATTTCTCTGAATAGTCCTCAGTCCTCACAGAAGCTTTCTAGAAGAGAGTCACATTGTAAAATCTCCCACTACTTATTTGAGATTGCATCTCTTACCTGGAGTAAGATCTACTTTTCTCCTGTACACTTCCAAGTGTAAAGGCCTCCCTGGCAAGAAGCAAGTCCTCTGAAGAGCTCCTAGTGGAAAATGCACAGCAGCTCCTCCAGGCTGTCTTCAAGACCATGAGGGCCGCAGAAGCTGCAAGTCTCCGGGTAAGAGCTGACTCAGAGAGTGGGTGCCAGCCTGGGGTACACATGCATGCACAACTCAGGGTCACAGGCCCACAGACACATGGCAAGCTGCAGACATTCACAGGATACCCTACCTTCTTCTTAGTGGCTATATTCAACTTCATTCCTTCCCCACATCTGTCACCTGATTCCTATGTGTTTCAGTTTGACTAACTTCTCTCAACCTACTTTCAGTGTCACTGATTATTTCTTCTGATGAGTATCCAGTCTTCTGATGAGTCTATCAAAGCATTCTTTATAGCTGTTACCTTGTTTTTTTCTTAGCATTTCTGTTTGTTTTTAATAATTTTTATCTTTTTATTAAAATTCTCCGTTTTTCATGCATTTTTGTCCACTTTCCCACTCATATTATTTTAATTTTCCTATCTGATAATTTCAACATATGGCTTATAGCGGACTCTGGGTTTTGTTTGTCTGTTTTATCTCTTGACGGTGCATTGCTTTTCTGGTTTTGTTTTTTGTTTTTTTGCATGTCTTATAATTTTCTGTACAAAACTTGACACTATGTGTAGACTGGCAGGGAAGAAGTAAATAGTATTTACGCCTGAAAATTTAGGCCTTTAGAGTGTTGGGTGAGCCACTCTACTCAGGAGATCATCTGGGTTTGGGTTTTATTGTTACAGTCAGTGTTGATGCACCACAGTATCAAATTTGCTAGTGTTACCTTGAGGTTTTTTTTTTTTTTTTTTTTTTCTGATGGAGTTTTGCTTTTGTTGCCCAGGCTGGAGTGCAATGGTGTGATCTTGGATCACCGCAACCTCCGCCTCTTGGGTTCAAGTGATTCTCCTGCCTCGGCCTCCCAAGTAGCTGAGATTACAGGCATGTGCCGCCACATCCAGCTAATTTTTTAATTTTCTTTTTAGTAGAGATGCGGTTTCCCCCTGTTGGTCAGTCTGGTCTCAAATTCCTGACCTCAGGTGATCCGCCTGCTTTGGCCTCCCAAAGTGCTGGGATTATAGGCATGCACCACCATGCCTGGCCTCGTTTTTGTTTCATTTTTATTTAAAAAAATTTTTAAGAGGCAGTTTCGCTGTGCCACCCAGGCTGGAATGCAGTGGGACAATCATAACTCACTGCAGCCTTGAACTCCTGGGTTCAAGTAGTTCTCTGCCTCAGCCTTTTGAGTAGCTGGGACTATAGGCACATGCCACTGGACCAGGCTAATTTTTAATTTTTGTAGAGATACGGTCTCACTATGTTGCTCAGGCTGGTCTCGAACTCCTAGCCTCAAGCTGTCCTCCTGCCTCAGCCGCCCAAAGTGCTGAGATTACAAGCATGAGCCACCATACATAGCCATTACCTCATGCCCAGTTTGCTGTCTGTCCCTTAGTTGCTTAAGGCTTTTGTTCCGTAAAGGACACAGATTTGCGTGGGGATTCATGTCATTGTGGAATGGTAACTGCTCTCTTTCCGAAGTCTGTGCCAGAGGGAGGCATTCCCAGGTTCCTGTCCTGGCTCAAGTCTTTCTCATGAGTGAAGTCCTACACAGAGCCCTATGCAGAGACATGGACTTGTCTTGCG